GAGCGGGAGCCACTGGGGCATCAGCGGCGGCGACTGGCGCTACTTCTGCCATCTTCTCAGAGATGCTGTATCTTCGCTAGTGATCTTCGAACTGAACGCGAGGGGAGCGCGGGAGCCGCAATTTATAGGGGAGGAGCTGCGTCCTGATTGGTCCGTTTCGAGCAGGCTTCTTTGTCAGCCCCAGAGCCTGCCTGGTTTGGTCCTGGCCGCTTTTTTTTTGTGTTTCTTAATCGGCACAAAATAGCCAATTAATTAAAATTCTTTTGACGGATTCTTTTGAATCCTGGAGGGATCCATGGGGAGAATGTGGGCTTTGAGGGGACCCGGTTTTCACACTCCGACATGGCAAAAAGAACCCATGAAAGGAGAAAGAATGCAGCCTCTGCCTGTCTTTTCTACCTGCAAATTTGCAAACTTTTGCTTTTTATGGGAAATAACAAATTTGTTTTTAAACAGATGGCTATGGAAAGTCTTGGATATGGTACCCGGGAGTGTTGGCTTCTTGGTGGTGAAGTCAGGAAGGGTTTTCGTCTGATAATTTTGTGGCAATCGCTTGTTTAATGGAGTCAAGTAGCACACCTGATAAGGAAGCTTTTTCTTCTTGGAGCAAATCGATAAGGGTACTTTCAGGTATTGAAAGATGGAGTTCTGACAAGGAAATAACAAATGGGGCAGAAGAGGGTTCTGCCAGAAGAGCATTTGGAAATTCAGATTTTAAATAGTCCCTTAGACAGACTCTGGTTTCAGAAAATTCTGATCATCACAAAAGTGACACTTGGTTGTTTTTTCCACCTCTCCAAAGGCAATTTCCAGTGAATATAGGCCATACTTCCTCTGGACAACTGACGTACAAAAACAAAATATAGGAATTTATTTCCTCACTTGCAAATAGCATTTAGTTTTTTTACCCTTCTTACTTGCTGGAGTCTTCTGGGTGGTTAGCAAAAATAAGATGAAGGCTGTATGGTCTGGAAAAACAGTAGAAAACAAACCAAAAAGGACAGTTGAAACAACATTTTAAAAACCAGAAAATAAAAATGAAGTATAGGCATCAACAAAGGATAAAATCCCATTTTTCTTTTAAAAAATGAAAGATGATAAAGTGTGGGGAAATTGA